AGATTTCACTTAAAAAGAAAATATGTATTTAAATTTTAAATGAATGGTCCTATCTACATTTAATAAATATTTAAAGTAGTAATATTTAAACCCACACTCTGAAATGCTTAGTTTTCTCTGTTACTTCTACATTCTTACCTCAGAAGTTCATTACATCTAAGATATATAAAGCCCAAAAAAGTAAAGTATAGAACTGAGACATCTCCAAATCCATTTAAAATAAATGGTCAGATTCATGGTTTTATGTTCCTGCTTTGTTATTTCTGTTGTTTGGTTGATGATGAAAAGTTTACACTTTAATATGTTAACTTACCATTTTGTGTAAGAGTTCTTCTAAGACTTACCACACATATCCTTTCACGTTTAAACAATGAAGAAGAATTAGTGTATATGGACTTTAACAGCTATTGAGCAAGTGATGTCTCCTAAAGTCATATTTTCTTGTATTTGTCACCGGGACCTTCGTTAAGGGCAGGGAAGAGTCACGGGACTGGAGGTATACTGAAGGGTTCGAGTCAAGAATCTCTCGGTTTATTGCACCCAACTAGAACCCAACATAGGTTAGGCGAAGTAGAGAAAAGGAAGTAAGGGTCCACTCCAAGGAGAAGTGAGGAAGGAGGCATCTCTGTACAAGCCGTGGTCTCTGATCTGGCGATGGCTGTCACAACTGTGAGGGGGAAGTAACCTTCGCTCTGATGGGGCCTCCAGCAGCATCTCTTGGAACAACTCTCAGCAGCATGGAGTCTGGGTCTCTGGCAAACAGCTTTCGAATCACCTAGTTAAATATGATGATGTTTATCTTTGGATGTTAAGTATGTGTGATTGTTAATTTTACTTTACACTTTCACATACTTCTAGTTGTCTGTGATGAAGTAATACTGCTAGTAAAATTAGAATGAAAACAATAAATTCATTAAAAATGGAAAAAAAAATCCAAAAAACAAAAACACCAAAATTAACAGGCATGAACCAAAAAAAAGGAAAGTATGACTCACAATAGAGAGAGAAGTCAATAAACAGAAATGAGACCAGGTATAGAATTAGTAAACAAATATATTGAAATATTTATTGTAATTATATCTAGATGATAACAGAAGGCATGCTTGAGCATGTTTGAAAAATACAAGGTCTGAGATGCAAAGCATGTTGACTATAATTAATAGTAGGATTAGAAAAAAAGATGAGGGAACTTGAAAGAGTATGGAAGGAGAAAAGATTAGGAATCTTGAAAATATAGCAATAAAGCTATCCAAAATAACATGGACAAAAAAAAAGGGGAAGTAGTGCAAAACAGCAGTACTTCAAGGAAGTGTGGGTCAACGTGTGTGTTAATACATGTATAATTATAGTGAAGGAGTGAAAAATGTCCACATATTAGGAAAACTATAAACCATAGATCAAGAAGCTCAACAAATGATGACTGCAAGAGCGTGAAACAAATTACTATGAACACATTACAGGGACATTGCTTGCAAGCAGCCAACAAAAAAATATTAAAAAGTAGCCAGAGAAAAAAGATATCATATACAGAGTAGCAGAGGTGAATGATGGCTGACTTGCTTTTGCAAAATATATAAGCTAGAAGGGATTGGCAATTTTTTTAAGTACTCAGAAAAAAATATCTGTCAAAAAAATACCATAATCTGTGAAAACATCCTTCTACCATGAAGATATAATATTTTTTTTCAGACTCACAAAGCTGAATGAATTAATGACTAGCTGACTTACCTTACCAGAAATACTTAAAGAAATTTCTACTGGCAGAAGTCAAGTGATACCATGTAGAAATTTGTATCTACTCAAAGGAAGCACAAGGAAAATGGTAAATAGAGAGACGCAGATGAAACACCTCAATTACCTGTGTTTTAAAACTCTCCAAAATTATAAAAAAATTTAAAAATATAATTACAATGTATGGTGTGGATTTTAATGTATGTACAATTAAAATATATGATAACAACACCACATAGGGGAGTGAGATAGGAGGGTACTGTTTTAAGATTCCCTATCATGATGGCTAATATTTAAAAAAGACAGATGACAAGTGTTGTTGAGGAAGAGGAGGAAAGGGAGCCCTTATGCACTGTGGGAATGTAAATCTGTGCATTCCCTAGGAAAAAACATTATGGAGGTATCTCAAAAAACTAAAACTAGAGCTACGATCTAATCCCACCCTCCCATGTCTGGGTACTTATCTGAAGGAATTGAAACCAGGATCTCACGGTGACCCTTGTACTTTCAAGTTCACTGCAGCATTATTTACAATAGCCAAGATGTGGGAACAATTTAAACATGCACCAACGGATGGATGGAGAGGGAAAATGCGGTATATGCGCATGGCAGAATACAACATGCAGCTTTAAAAAAGGAAGAAATCTGCCCTTTAGGACAACATGGACAGATCTGAAAATTTTTATTCTAAGAGAAATAAACCAGACACAGAAAGGCAAATATTGTATGGTACCCCTTATGTGTAGAATCTACACTTGTCAAACACACAGAAGCACAGAATAAAACTGGAGCCAGGGACGGGAGTGAGTGGCACACAAGAAAGTGTTGGTCAGATGGTACAAGGTTTCAGTCATGTAAAATAAGTAAGTCCTGAGACCTGCCCTACAGCACAGTGCCTAGCAAGCAATCCTGTATTTTATCCTTAAGATATGCAAAGGAGGACCTCATGTTAAGTGTTCTTACCACATACAAACACGTAATGATGATGATGATGATGATGATGATGATGATGATGATGATGATGATAATAATAATAATAATAATAATAATAATAGAATGAGAGGAAAGAAGGAGAAAGGGTGTGGGCAGAAATATTCTGAGGTTATGGGTATGTTTACGGAGTTGATGGTGGTGACGGTTTCATGGGTATGAAACCCCGAACTCATCCCCAAACTCCTACCTCAGTAAAGTAGTTTGAAAAAATTAGAAAATACATTTGTGTTGTTTTAAGCCACTAGGTTTCCTGTAATTTGTTACAGCAGCAATAGGAAGCTAATCTAGACAGCGTGGGAGTATCACAAGTAGCATGGGCTTTGGAATCTAATGGACATGAATTTTGATTTTCTTCTCTAACATTCACTAATTGTGTGATTTAGGCAAGTGACTTAATTCTGGTCAAGGCTGGATTTTTCATCTGGATGTAATAACTTCTGATTCAACAGGATAATGTAAAGACCTAATAAAATTACTTGTGGGGAAGAACTTAGCCCTCAAGTCTAGACAGTGGTTATCATTCTTGCTGCCATTTTTAGATACTTGTTCTACGTCAGGCATTGCATAAGTATCTTGTTTTTGTTATTTCATGAATTCCAGAGACTCCTTTAGGATGTCGGTACTCAAGAAGATAGAGTTCAGACAGGCTAAGTTAATTGGTGAGAATCGTGCCACCAGAAATTGAGAGAGCCATAATTAAAACACTTGAAAAAATATATATGCATGTGCAGATACCTATTTGAGTGACAGGCCATTTATCAGTCATTTTAACATTGATACTTAAATCTATCCTCTTCCAAAAGAAAACCATAAATAAAATTATTTCTCAGTGCCCAATTTGTTAGCAATGCTTGATGGATGGAATGTCTACATGACATCTCGCCGTCTGTATTTTGAAACTATGCTGTACTTAAACTCTTTTATGAATAACACTGTGATCACAAATAATGAGCTTTTAGCCATATATATATATACACACAAAAGTATACATGCACATTTTATTATATATAATAATAATAATTTATTAATGTATACATTGGTTATATGGAAAAAGTGAAGGGCAGAGGAGGGAAAAAATGTTTATTCCTAGGTTTTGAATCTCAGCATCTGCACAGTGAAATTAACCGAGACTGGGTGAGGAGCCCAGCACGGAGTTTTACACAACACATATAACTTAGCATCTACCACTTCCCTTACTCTGATTCTTCCCTCAGTGTGAGTACCACTCCTTCTGTTCCCTTCAAAATTCTTTGGTTCCAACAGCAGCCCTCTCTGCTGTGTTCAACCCCCAGGCAACAGGTCCTTAGTTTGGGCTGCTTCACTCAGGAAGAGAAGCTTTGTCTCCATTAATTTTGGTGAATAAAAGTTTCTATCTCATAAAAATTGTAGTACAGCATCATTGGCCGATTTTTAGCTGCCAACATCTACCATCATTGCATAGCTAAGATTTTCTTTCCAGTTTCATGCTGAAAGGTGAATCTGTTTTCCATGTAAATGTGATTAAAATTAAAGGCAAGATTTTCACTAGTAGGTTAGTGATTTCATGCAAACTGTATGGATTGACGTTTCTTTTATAAAGAATATTTTGCAATTAAAATGAGATTGACTAGATGATTTTCTTGTTTTTAGAATAGCCACTCAGCTCCGGCATGACTTGATTTCTTTCATAATCATTGTCCCAGAGGTTATAAAATAGTATTGTATGTCTTTTCTTTATAAATACTGACATTTTGAAGAATGTTATGAGAATTTACGTAGCATAGCTGCAGAAAATTTTTATTTGCAGTTAAAATAAGGATGGGTGTAATTGGGACAATTGCGTCATTCCTCCAAAGATATGCTGAATCCCTAGATCCCAATATTTCAGAATGTGACCTTATTTGGAAATATGGGTTATTGTAGATGTAATTAGTTAAGATGAGGCCTTGCTGAAGTAGGCTGGGCTCTTAACTGAATACAACTGATGTCTTTATAAGAAGACAGAGACACAGAGGGAGAAGGTGGCTTTGTGATAAAAGAGACAGAGATCGAAGAGATGTGTGATGATTTTACGAACCAAGAAATGCCAAGGATTGTGAGGAGATGCTGGATACTAGAAAAGCAAGACATTGTGCCCTAGTGCTTTCAGACAGAGCAAGGCTCTGCCCATAGTACTGTGAGAATATAAGTTTCTGTTTTTTAGCCGCCATTTCCGGCACTTTGTTAAAGCAGCCCTAGGACGCTAATACAATGGGTTACCCAGTGCATGCTTGATAGATCGATTTATTACGCAAGGCTTTTTTTTTTAATTTTCAAAATACTTTAACAGAGAAAAGAAAGGTCAGATTATCATTACTACTGTTTTAAAATTATTGATATTTGATCTTAGGTGTGTATTCTTTATGTAACACTACTTGATTGAATTTTCTTTTTCTTTTTTTTTTCTTTCTTTGTTTTGAAAGCTGGAATTTGGACACAGCAGGAAGAACAGGAAGAATCATTGTGAGTACAAAGCAAATAGGACTTCTCACCAAGTCTGTGGATAAGGAGAAAACATACATTTTATTAAATTTGAACAATAAATGAATCATTGCTAATGTCTTTACGTTTTCTTATTTTTCAGTTATATCCAGATATAACTCTTTCTGACTAACCAAGTGTTCACAATTGCCCATTTGTTACCCCTGCTTGTCTCCTCCCTTCCCACCTTCCTTGGTGCCTTTGACCTTTGCGTGCCCCAAGCCTGGACAACCAGTAAAAAAGTGGAACGTGCCCTCTTATCAGCTTATCCTGAGAATCAGCTGACCAGAGTGGACACCCTTTCTACTGGTCATTTCCTTCTGCTTGCCCAACTTCCCCTAAAAGTTTCTGCTAATCTTTGCTTACCTCTCTTATCCTATAAAGAAAAGCCTTTTTCTGTTCGCCTTTGAAACTCTTGCAGATTTCTGAGATTTGAACTTTCTTCCTATTGCAATGATCTTTGTTATGAATAAAATCTCTCCTTGTCTAAGTTTAGAACTGTTCTTCTTGGACATGACAAAAGATCCTTGACCAAAGCTGTGCCTGCTTAAAATCCTTCATATAAAAAAAAAGCTTTACTAAAATTATTCTAAAATAGTTATATAACCAGACTCTAAATTGCTGTTATCACTACCACTGTTTCTTAGTTCAACCTCTTGTTTTTCATGTTAAATTATTTTGATAGTTTCCCAATGGACTTTACTGCCTGTCTATCCTTTACCTGCCAAGCACCTGCTCTATAGATGCCTAAAGAACCCATTCAATCATATCCCTCCTGTATCAGATGATAGTCTCACTTATAATTGCTTGATTTTACATCCATTTTGAAAACTAGATAATAAGCCATCAAGTGCAGAGATAAATCATGATATTTATATCCCCAGTGGCTAATTCACTGCCTGCTCAGGATGTAGTCAAGAAATATCTCATGACTGAATGAATACAAACTTCTGTTGGAATTTTATTTTCTAAAAAAATAACACAAGGAACAGTATTTATTTTCAATTGTTTCTTTCTGTACTTCAAAATAGCTCCTTTATTTCCAACACTTCAAATGTGTAACCAATCTAATTCTGTGTGGTACTGATAGGATAGTACTTTTCCTGGCACTTCAGGACCTTAAGAAATCTTGAATCAATATTGAAAAATTCAAAGAATGATTTCTATCTTTTTTTTCTCCACTTGTCACTGCTCACATGAGGTGCAGTGGGCTCAGGTCTGTATTTTTAGCCCAGTTGGACTTTCACTTTGAATGCTATCCTCTTTCCAATTGAGCTTAGCCAAATTATCTTCTTTAGCATCTTCTGTATAAACACAGCCAATCAAACATATTCATAATGCAAAATTCCATAAAACAACAATAACAACAACAAAGAAAGAGATGGATAGATGGCAGCAGAGCCATGTCTCTTTTCTGAAAGACTTACTTGCTTAGTCCTTATATTTGCTTATCCAATCCTGACAAACGTGTATCTATTTCTTTGTTTTTTTCCTCCTTCCTTCCCTGATTTGGCCATTCATTCAATCCATCACCAAATCCACTGATTGCCTTTTCTTAGGGTCTCCTTCTCATATTTCTTTAAGTCTTTCTACCACCAACCTATTTCTGTCCCCCTGTCCTCTGCTTAAATACAGCCTACACATTTCATCCATTTATATATCTTCCAAATAATACGTTTAATATATCCTTTCTTTTTCAAGTATCTTCAGCTGTTGCCTAGTGCCTAGGGAGTCAAATACAGTGTCTTGTCCTGTCATTGATGGCATTAGGGAGTTCAATTTGAATTAATTCTCTATGTGCATTTAAAATTTATTGAAATCCTTGGGAACTATTTCCACTTTGAATTGTGGGACAGCCTCCAAAAATATTCCTTGATTTTGCAGTGAAATATTTAACCTTTCATAGATTTTGGAACATTTATTGTTGTTTTACACAAAATTGACTTTCTAAAATCCAGTTGGTAACATTTCCTTATTTTCTTGTAGGTATTATTTTAGAGCAGTGGTTCCTATTCTAATTGCTCATCAGAATCTTCAAAGCCAAGTTTCTCAAACTTTCTTGTGTTATTAATCATATAGGGATCTTAATAACCTGCAGATTCTGGTGCAATAGGTCGGAGTATGGCTTCAGAATCTAAATTCTGACAAGTTCCCAGATGGTGCTTGTGCATCCACTCCCAAGATTACCTTTAGAAGGAAAAGTTTTAAGCAACATCCAGGCACAGATTAAGTAGCAGGGCAGCCTGCAGTCACAATTATATACAATTCTCTTTAAGAGCTTTTACGTAATACGCCCTTCAGTAGTCTAACTGATTCTGTGATGTGGTTAAGAATTATGATACTGATTTTGTCCTTGAGAAAAATTGAAGTTTAGAAAAAGATCAGGAATAGTTCTAGGTGATGAAACTAGGAGTGGTCAGGACTAGGACACAGACACAACTGCCCCGTCCCCAGAGCCCAGCCTCTTAACAATGCCAGGACATATGCTCTCTTTTGGACACACTTAGAGAAGTAAGTGTACTTTACCAGAGCTACACCAGACTGGGTTTCTTCAACTGGGGCTGCTTTTGGTTTGACAGCTTGCTTTTGCTTTTTCTTGTTTTACCTGTCACCATTGATACCTCTGAAGGATATTAAATGTCACTAGACCCGGCTTACCTCTGTAATCATGTCCTGTGGTTACCGAGCAGCGTTTTAAGGAAATGGATATTGAAAAGGATAGATAGGATAGTTTTGTGGATACCGCTGATACGGCACGTATTGCTGGTATGGTTGGTAATACCCAAACTGTACACAAATGAAAGGAAAGAAGAAATTGCAGAGAATTGAGACAATGATGGTGCAAATATTTCTCAGTAAATTTCATTAAAAACTTAGGTTGTTAACGTTGGTAGGACCTTATATATCATCTCCATGATTGTGTTTTCAAGCTTTTAGGTAGATTTTAATTATTTTAAATAAGAATGTTTTAAAGTGGTAAAATGATAAAGCACTTATATTTTTGCTGTTTGTTGAAAATTTTGCTGTTTTATAATACACATGGAGCCATTGATTATAGCCAACCATTCATAAAAGGTTAAGTTATTATTTATAATATTACTTTCAAGCTTCTTTGCCCATCCTTGAATATTCCAGGGAAGAGATATTTACTAATTCCAGGTTAGGTGGAATTACTACTTCTCACTCTTTACTTATAAATAAAATACTGTTTCTTAAAACTCCTACATTCTTAAATATTCACTTTTGTTAATCCAAATGTCCTCCATCCCTCCTTCAGCATCCTTTTATTTGGTGCTGTTTGAATTCATCTACTGACTATATTAGTAAGAATTTTTGAGACCTTATCACATCGATAGACATGTCAAAATAACATGCACTATCATGGAAACATTTCACTAAGAGGAATGTTAAATAAATTAAATTTTTTATCCTATTTAATGTGGTTAGTTCAACATACACTAAGGACTGCATTGCCTTTCAAAAGAATCAGGAAGTGGAAACTGACAACATTATATGTATTTTGAAAGTCTCTGTGGTCTTTTAGGCATATTTTGTATTTAACATAATTAGACTCTCAATATTCTTTAGATCAAGGTAATTATTTACTAGACAAAGATACTTGTTTTTTTGAGAAAACAATTGACTTTATCAGGGTGGCATTATGAGTTTTCATCCAAATGCTATTAGTACACAAGACTCCTGGGTTTTACCCAGTGTATCATAAACAAAAAGACAATGTGTACTTTAATCAGTCATTATGTAAATATGTAAATATATAAATATCAGAGAAGAAAATATTCTTGTACTATACCACATTATCAGGAGAATACGTACATTGTATTTTCTCCATTTCCAGAAACGTTTCTGTTAAAGTAAAGAACAGATTAACATTTTAACACATGTTTACTTTTCACGTTTTCCAGTGAAGGAAAGTGTCTTACCTCTTCAGATGAATCAGCTCTCTGGGAAAAAAGGAAAGACAAAAATAGTTAACATTTTAATTTTACAGTCCTAGATTGAGTGTAAAAATGCATTTAGCTGCCACAATTATGATGAAATGGAATGAAGGTAAAGTTCTGGGGAAATGATACACTAAACTAATTTTGTGTTTGTAGAATGGCATCTTTTATATGAATGAAGAGAAATATTTCACTGTAATTCATTTGCTACATTCAAATATCAATTCACTTTGGAACAAATTCTTTTTTGTGTGAAAGGAAGGCAAATCTATCAATGTGACTAGGACAATGAAACTGAAAAGTTAAAGTTGGGGTTTGTCAAGTCAAATGTTTTTATATGGAAATGTTCAAGTAGCTTAAAAGCTACTTACATTCATATATTAATTGTGCTAATAGGGTCTGGTATAATGTTTTTCTCTTTTTTTAGATTTGTGTTATTTTATGAAAGATAATCTGTTAGACTGTGATGTCATGACCACCTTGGTTTTGAGACATCCAATAGAACTTGCTGGATTAGGAGAAATATTATTATTTCTCCAAGAACATCTCAGTAACTAGACACAAAGAATAGTGAAGTGAAAAGTACCATTGTTTTTACGAAGAGGAAACACATTTAGAGGGAGGAGGAAGAAAGCAATTCAGAAAGGTCAGTTTTACCTAATGACACAAAGTAGTTAATGACAATACAGGTAATCCCTGACATTTGGTAAATCTAGAGTTTTAAGATTTAAATGTCTCTATTAGCCTCTTAGATTCATGTCTTCATGGGGCTATTTAAAATTTTTAATCTTTACATTAAGTTAATTACACTTCTGTGTCTGTATGCTTAGTGTGTTTGTGTATGTATGTATTCAAGATTTATTCTAAGTCCTTAATGTACTTATGTAGCTTAATTCAAGGAAAATGTTCATATAAAAATATTAAAATTTATAAAGCCATGTTCAGGTAAATGCACATATAGGCCAAAACACAAGAAATAAGAGGAGAGACTCACGCTAATTTCTGAGAACATATTCTTCAAAATTTCCTGACATACTTACAATCATGGCTAACATGAGAGCCATAATAAAGGCAAAGACGAGGATCTTCATTTTTGGCAGAGTCCTGTGAAAGCATATGTGAGAAATCAATAGTACATTCACTGCTGCCTTTACAAACCTTTTATTGATCTAAGTATGTTCTGAAGCCTTAGGAAACTGACTAGAAATTCAAAGACAATTCAAACACATTGCCTGACATCATGGAACTTAGAAATTAGTAGGAACCTTGATAAGGAAAGGTAAGTGTTGTGATACAGAAATACTAAAGTGCTATAAACACACAGAAAATGGGCTTCTTAAACAGACTAAGAGAATGGAAGTATTAAAGGGAATACAAAGATAAGACCTGTGTTATGTAGAGTAAGTAAAGAAAGTGTTGGGGTTCCTGCAAAGAAACGAAAATGAGGGAGCATGAAAGTGAAAATGTTTATTTTGTAAGAAGGACAAAAACTGGGGTCAGGATGTCCACTTAGATTGCTGTGAAATTACAAGGGCCTTACAAAATGACATTAGGGATCCTGATTAAGGCAGAGCTTAAGAGATGTTTAGAAGGTAGAATGACAAACAACAGAGACTGGCTTTAGAATAAGGAAAATGAACCAGGCTTCTGGCTTAAGAATTTATAGATGGTGCAACCCTGACATTACAAAATTAAGGATGCTAGGTAGAGAAAAATCAAATTGAAAAGAGGTTTCAGGAAAAATATTTGTAGCTATTTTGAAAATTGAAATAATCTTCAAATAATTTTACGAACACAATTAAGCTAATTTGGGACTCCGATATGTTTTCATAATTCTGTATTTGTCAGTGAACCTGGTTCTGTTGTTGTTGAAAAAGAAAGAAAGCAGATTACTTCTGAATTATAAATATGTAAATAAATATGCTTCCCAAAATATTAGGTAAATAATGGGTAAAAACTCTTTCTAAATAATTTTTAGTCATCAGGTTTTACAGAACATCACAGCAACATCTTTTCCCAAATGATAGAAGAAACTATTCTTCTGCTAAAAAGCACTACATCTCTAACATAGGAATCGGAACTGGGGACTGGTGGTATTTCTCTCTTTCCTTATCTGCTGATTTTGCTTCATTGGTTTAATTCAGGACTGGCATTAGATAAACCATGAAAATTATGTATTTCTTGGTGAAGTTTCTCATCACCTTCTAGTTGAACAATTGTTCAGTCATGTTATAATACAAAAAACAATGCAATTATTAGTGTTGTTTATACTTGAAATTTTATTTAGAGGATTGAGAGAAATTCACAGGAACTAGTATTCGATAGATAGATAGATAGATAGATGGACAGATAAATTGAAGGACTCTGAGAAAATACTTCCCAAAGAACTCAGTCATAGAAGTTTGAAATAGTAAAAGCTTTTTTCAGCCAAATCACAGAGGAAACAAAAACGTGTTAAATAAAATGAATTATTAAAATAAACTAGTCTGTTACATGGTGTTAACTATGCAGGAAACGGGAACCTATTTTGAATGATGAGAAGGGCAATCAAGGAGTAATGGATATGAATTAGTTACGGGAATAAAGTAACTTTGAAAAAGGTTACTTAAACCTTTGAAATAATGCACACATTTGCAAAAAGAGTTTATGTCACTCAAGAGAGAATTTTCTTCTAAAATGTAATCTTCAACTTTAGGTCAAGGTCAAGGTAATTATTAACAATATGGATATCAGATATTGAGTCAGGAAAGTGGAAAGGCTACTAGGAGATCCCACCAACAGAGAAGATGGAGCACATTTTCTCCATTATCCACATCATTTACTTTATACAATAATTATTGTCAATTCAGAGGCATTGACATCCTGAACTTACCTTCAGATTGTGATATAGGGTCATCATTTCTTTAAATTGTTTCTGTGTGCAAAATTATCAATAAAAACATACATTTTATAAGTGGTTTTCAACTCAGCCTAGCGAATGAAAGATTAGAAAAAGACATCATATTATATTGTACATGAACATATTACCTTTTCCCAAGATGAGACTCACCAGTCAGAGAAGCTGAAATTCTGAGGCCTTAAGAAAGGATGTTCTTTGCTAGATGACTTATGTACTTAAATACATGAAAATCCTCCATTTGTTTTTATAAATCATGTCAGTTATGAGATCATATTATAGAACTCAAAATACTGCCCAAGATCTGTCCCCGCAGACACTAAAAATAAACTTAACGGTGATTTTACAATAGAGGATTGTGAAGCAGTGATCAGGAAACCAATGGACCCTACGAAAGTTAATCCCACTGTTAGTCTGCGTATCTGTGAATAAGACAAAGGGAAGATTTGCTAGAATAAACCAAGTGTAGAAGTGAATGGAAATGGTAAAAATATTTCTCTAGAACACCATCTTCCCTATTTCAACAAATGCATGTCCAAGTTGAAACAAATCTATACCAAAAATAATACAATCTTCTCAAAATCTTGCCTGGTTTTTAAAATGGTGGTAACTGGCATAATAAATTTGAGCCATCAATTATTTCAAACATGTTTCCTATGACTTATTAAGTTGTACTTTTATTTTATGACATGGAATATTTTAAGTCTTAAAGTCAAATATTTGTAAACATGTGGTAATCTTATGAGTAGTGTATGATACAATAATCCTTATTTTTAAAGCCAAATGACCATGAAGCTAGTAATTTATATCGCTCATAGTAAATAGATGCATGTGTTTCAAATTGAATTTACCTACTTTGCATCTTTAGGGTCTCATTTTTGCCTCAGTGGAAGCCAGGTATTGACATGATCATACTCTTACTCAAAATGCAGTATGTGGGACCATCGAAATCACTGTCACCTGAGAGCTTGTTGGAACTGCAAATTCATTAGTCTTCTTTCCAAACACATTGATTCAGAATCTTGGAGGTGTAAAAGAAATACCATTTTAGTAATATCTCCAGGTGATTACTTGTGTACTGTAAAGTTTGAGAAACCACATAATAGACTCATAAGTGTATATTTGTCTCTAGATTGGACCCCTTAGAAATTAAGGCTTCATTTTATAGCAGATGTTTGAGGAAATGTTTATTAGGTGAATTTTCTATGCTATATTTGAACATCCCCACCAGAAATTAATGTCATACTCTAGGTGGCATATAAAATAATGTAAATGCTTTATAAAAGTAAATAAAGGATTAAAATCCAATTTATTTTAAATAATTCTTGCTCTTTTTCATTTTTTTCTATGCCTTATAGATATATGAAGTCTCCTCAAATGCAAAGCAAATCCAATCTCCAGGATATTCTCAATGGAAAAAAGATATACAGGGTTTAGAAATTATTGACATAAGCCTGATTTTTTAAATATAAGCCCTTCTTTATTTATTTTGAAAACATCAAATGATTTTCTTTTATCTTCCTCTGTTCTTTCTCTCTTCCTGCCTTACTGCTTTCTCTCACCATTTATGTCTTCTTGATTCATTTAAGTAACGTTTCTCGGCACCATCTGGTAGACCTATGATATTCATAGCCTAGTGACCAAAAAGTAGTATAATGCTCCAAAGGCCATGCCCAACAGGAACAGCAACAAACACAAACTGCCAGCTAATAAAAATGGGTAGATGCTAAAACATTTAAAATCTACAATTAAAATTAACTCACGCATATTTCAGTTGGAACACCAAAATGTAGGCATTATTCCACCCATCATTCTCCGCTTCAACACGGTAGGAAGTGTGGGGATTATGCATGACAGTAGGAAACAAGAACAGTGGACTCAACACAGGAGTGGCCTTCTTGTGTTACTTATGGTTTTCACTTCCAGGAACAGTAGGTCATTTTAAAAGACTGACAGACCAGAACATGCCCTGCTATTTTATAATTAAGAAAAACAGATATGTACCCTCTATAAGCAAAAACCATACTTCTTGAAACTGCCAAGGTCTTTTATTTACAAGGGAAAAATAAATAAGCACTCCTGCTGTATCACATGTGTCCCATTAAATTGGTGGCATAAGGATGCAACCTGTGAATGGTATTTATGGTGATATTTATGCTGGATTTTCTCTCCTTATCTTACTTCTCCTCCTGTTCCTCTTATTTCTCCTCTTTCTTCTGCTCCTCCTTCTCCTTCATTCCCCTCTTTCTCCTTTATTTCTCCCGCAATGAAAGCATGGTCTACAGGCTGTTACAAAATTCATGATGTTTATTTAACTAAAAAAAAAATTGTGTACATTCCTCTGTGAACTATTAAAATGAAAAATATCACAACTGACAGATAGAAAGCAACATATGAAGGCCCACTAGATAACAAAAACCTCCTGGGAACTGGGAATATTCAAAGTGACAGTCTCCTATTCCTGCTAAGTGGCTTCCCTTATGTTATGGACTGAATGTTTTTGTTGCTCTCAATTGAAATGTTGAAGCTCTATCCTCCAATATATTCTATTAGGAGGTGGGAGTCCTAGGAGGTAATTAGATTTAGATGAGGTCATAGAGTGGATACCCCTTCTAATATGGAATTAGTGCCCATATTAGAAGAAGAAGAGAGCCTAGAGCTTTTTCTCTCCACCATGGGAAGATTTGGGAATAAGGCAGCTGTCTGCAAGCCAGCAAGAGGGCCCACACAATAGAATCCAACTATGCTGCACTCTGGTTTTGGACTTCCCAGCCTCTAGAATAAGATAAATAAATATCAGCTGTTCAAGCTACCCAGCCTACAGTACTGTCATCCCTGTGTAACTTCGGGGGATTGGTCCTAGAACCCACCAAGGACACCGAATCCATGGATGCTTCATTCCCATGGTCAGCCCTCCGTATCCACAGCTGAGCATCTGTGGATTCAAACAAACCAGGTTATGTAGCACTGTATTTACTATTGAAAAAAAATCTGAGTATAAGTGGACCAGAGCAGTTCAAATTTAGATAGTTCAAGGGTCAACTGTATTTTATGATAGCAGCCTAGACAACTTGTGATTTGTGAAACAGACAAGGATAAAGGAAATTGCAGATAGAAAAGTCCAGGAGAGAGTTGAATATGTGATGCCAAATTGGACATAAAAAAGATCCAGACTGGAGCTGAAGATTTAGGAGTAACCAGCCTATTCATGTAATAAAAGATGCTAAATTTGAAGAGATCATATAGAAAAAGGTTGAAGAATCAGAAGAGAGGTGAGGACGGAATCCCTAGATAACAGTTTATGTGTAACAGAAAATACAGAAGTCCATGAATGTCTCATAGAAGGTAAAGAAAAGCAGAAAAGAGGAGAATTTCCAGGCAGTTTGTAAATTGTGAAAGCCAAGAGGCTGAAATTTCAAGAAGGAAGCTTAATCATCATG